AGCATTTCAGAACGACTGATAACAAAATCTTATGCACATCTTTATGAGCTAGGGATCATGAAAATGACTGATTATGCCAGGCAGTGCTGAACATGTAGAAAACGGTTCACATCGTGAATGACCAATTCTGTTGTCCTCTTCAGCAAATAAATACAATTTTATTTTCCAGCTTTTAGTGCCTATTGAAAATGTCTTAATTACAAATTGATTAATTATTCATACAGTTAATTAATTTAAGATACTAGTAAACTGCTTTAATTTTGCTGACTTAATTTCATTGTTTACACTCTTGAATTGACCAAATCCATGTGTCATGTGAAATAAATATCATTATGATGTAATAACACTTTTACAACATATGTAAAGTATCTGCATTGTCTAAAAAATTAATTCTTACTTGAGGTCCCAAATAAAGTTTAAGCTGCTACAATTTTATGATATTCATTGGCTTATGAAATATGGGAAAATTATTTGTTCATGAAATAAAAAAGGTTGATTTCAAGTGGATGGTATAGATGCTTGCACTTGTTTATGTTTTATACACGTGGGCGTGCACAGCGTCTGATTGGCAAGAATCTGTCATTCATATAATGCCATTGTTCCGTGATGTTGTTATTAAATATATATTTATGTGTCGTGGTTAATAAAACAATTCACAGGCAATGTTGTGAGCTAGTGTTGATCAGTGAGTGAATTTGTAATCTGGTATCTTGCTTGTCAAAAATGTAAATAAATCACTATACTCGAGAAATGGTCACATGACTTAATCATACTTATTACCATGTAACTTTCATTATTATTCTAGGAGTTTTGAAACACAATCGAGAAAGCAAACAGATGAATTATAGTAAAGAATACAATGAAAGTGGCTTTTCCAGTGCAAAGCAAATACTCTTACCAGATGCAATACCACCACCATTTGGCGTTACCCAAGCTATGTTATCAGATGCAACTCCACCACCCATAGTTCCAACATCTCTTATAAAAATGATTAGTCTGGTAAGTTTACTTTTTGTATGTCAGGTGACAGTTTCTGGCATCGGATGTCGTACATGCTATTTTACCATTAGCCGGTGTCTGGTATGCATGATGTTTCTATGAGATTTATAACAGCTGCTGACAGACTTGTATTACCGTACTCGACCGCGTTAGCGCCCAGGGGCCTCAACTCAGAAAACCACGATTTTTTAGGGGTGGCGCTTACCCGAGCACCCCCCTCGAAAAAGAGTGCAAATGAAAAAATTGATTCATCAAGTGACAGATTACGTCTTTGAGGGAAATCCGAAATTAGTTGAGTCGTCATTGATTTTCACAATGAAGAAACAGAAATGATCACAAAAAATATGCACATTTTATTACAATATTAATTACGTACCACCAGAATTTATGAAATTAAAAACATTTGAGTCTGTTGGAACACAGTCAAAGTCAAAATTGTCATATTATCTCCACTGACGAAGGAGGTGTTGGATCGTACGCAAACTCTCGATGAAAATCACTTTCCGCCATGATGCATTTGCATTTGACCTGCAGCAGCATCCTTTGACCTAATGGGTCAAGTTGGTTATTTA